CAGTCCACGGTGATACGTGAAGCCTGCCGCAGTTTCGCTTCTAAAGCTCACTCCTCTCATCTCCGCAATATACCTCTGTGACCCCCCTAATTCGCCTATAAAAATTATCTTCAGCAGCCTTGTTTGGACCATAGACCCCTGTTTAGGGTTCGAGTTTGAAAATTATAACTTGATATTAAAGGGAACAATGGGGTCTTGAAATTTGAACCTTTCTCGAGCCATTTTATTTTTTTATTCTTTTTTTTTTATTATTTCATTGCTCTTTCTTTGCTGGACTTTACACACAGAAAACACCCCATGCATGCTAGAATATCCAAAATGTTACAATAGAAGTTGAAAAAGAGCAAATAAACTGATTTTCCTGGATTTTTCCAGTTTTTTCCCATTCTCCCAATAAAAAAATATTTTTTCTACATGGAGGAACCTCCAGAATATGGAAAAACACATAAAAAAAGTAATATAATTTAAAATAAGCAAAAAAAAATTTTTTTTTTGAAAATTTGTCCGTCTCTGGGATTCGAACCCAGGTCCCCTCCATCCTGCAGTGAACTTGCTTGTCTGGTGTCCTACCTTCCTGTCCACGGTGATACGTGAAGCCTACCGCAGTTTCGCTTCAAAAGCTCTCTAATCTCATCTTAACAATGTACCTTTATGGGCCCTCTGTGACCCCCCTAATTGGCCTATAAAAATTATCTTCAGCAGCCTTGTTTGGACCATAGACCCCTGTTTAGGGTTCGAGTTTGAAAATTATTACCTGATATTAAAGGGAACTAGGGGGTCTTGAAATTTGAACCTTCCTCGAGCCATTTTATTTTTTTATTCTTTTTTTTTTATTATTCCATTACGCTTTCTTTGCTGGACTTCACACCCAGAAAACACCCCATGCATGCTAGAATATCCAAAATGTTACAATAGAAGTCGAAAAAGAGCAAATAGACTGATTTTCCTGGATTTTTCCCTTTTTTCCCATTTTCCCAATAAAAAATTTTCTTTTCCTACATGCAGGAACCTCTGGAATTTAAAAAAACACATAAAAAAATATAATTTAAAATAAACAAAAAGAAAAGAAAATTTAATGAAAATTTGACCGTCTTGGTGATTCGCACCCGGGACCAACACCAAGAAGGAGCTGTGCTTTGGTAGGCTTATTTATACTACTTAAAGATGTCTATTCAAATTTTGCGCTTGGCGCTACTATGAACATACTAATCAGGGTTGCTTTAAATGCGTGCTCTACAGTTCGCAAACGCCATATTTCGACATGATGTGCTGCGGTCAAGAATGTCTTTAAAAAGGACGAATACAGCTCATTGACTTTGAACGGGATCTTGTAATAGGGCTGCGAGAAGGAGGATTTTCTTTCCGCAATATTTGAGAATGACTCTGGAGAAATGCATCCACTGTTTGTTGGCAGCAAGGGAAGGTACTGCTTCATAGAGACCATGTAAAAAAGTCAAATTACCGAATTACTATGGAATAACTAATTACGTTGTAATGTTCTGCAACAAGTGTAGTCGGCGCAATGGAGTAAGACCGGGTAATCTCTCTTTACCTCGATAGTATCCCCAAAAAATTTTGAATGCGCTGTTGGGATTTCTCGGCGATGCTTTCTGTGACGTATGGCTATTTCATTCTGCCATGCTTGTTATTTTCAGCGATTTCTATACTCCAGATTTGGCTTTTCAAACTTGAAATGTCAGTTTTTTCGCCTGAGAAACTTCATTTAAAAATGAAATAGAAACTATTTCATCAAATATTATTACCCTTAGAAGCAATGTTCTAAATTTAGACGAATGCAACAAGCGAGTAAAGGAATTTGTGGAACTCACAGATAGGAAATGGAATTCTAGAGCTTCGAAACCTCAGGGAGAAAGATTTGTTTGTTGGTAAGTAACTAGTTTAGTTATTTTAAGAACAATTTAGTATTTAATTTTCATTGGAAATGCTTTTTCGTTAAATTTATGATTACCACAACATGAATTCTTATGAAGCTAGTATAACTCGAATCGAATTTATAGAATAACATTGAACTCGAAGTTTAATTGCCTTGCTCAATTTTTTTCCCAGTATGAAATGAAAACTCAATAGTTTTAGCTTGATATTTGATATTAGTTCCCGGAAAAATCAAGGTACCCCTGAAACTTTACGATGTGAACAAATCAAAGAGGAAATCAATTCGCTTCATAAGACATATTATGTTTTTCATCTGATAAACAGTTTGAAAAGAAAAACTGCTATTAATAAAATGGAAAATATAGCGTTAAAGAGGAAATCGTGTTATGAATAAAAACACTATTAAAAAAATTTCAATTCTAGAGATTTAATTCATGTTTTGAATTGAAACATATTTATTTTTATGTTCTTAATCTGAAAGGTCTCGATATTCCCCATTTTGAACAGTCTGTACCCTATATTAATTACCTCAGTTACAGTACCATTTATGAAGCAAAATTCATCAATCAATAAGTCAAATAGATTTACTCTTTCCTAGAAATACGAATCTGAAATATATAAAAAAAATGGGAGTGCATATTTAAGATTTGAAAGTTGCCGCCGCCGTTGCCGTGGAAGTTTGGTGTCAGTGGACATTCTTTTAAAAATACTGAATGCTTCAATTTTCACTTTTTAGATTATTAAATTATTTAAAAACCAAGATGCAAACTTGTCTGCTGCGAAGTAACTTCCCCAATGACCATGCTAGTTGGCAGCTATAGCATTGAAAAATTTAATAGTTCAGAACAGGGCTCGAAAAAACTCAGAAAATTTACCCGTCCCCGAGGACGACTTGTCCAACAATGCACCCGTCCTCCGTTGAAAATAACCCGTCGCTTTTAAATAAATAAAAATATAATTTTCTCCTATTTATTACAAACATTTATATAAATTGCACAATGAATTAGTCGTTACTAGGATTACATTATACAGTAATAAAAGAAATACTAGGTTACTAATAGTAACCTAGTATTTCTTTTATGAAATAATTTAAATGACAAGGGTCAAGTTATCTGGAATGTCAAGTTATCCGAGGGTACTGCGTTTTTTAAATGAATCAAATATGACGTTTGCCAGTTCCACAATCAAGCCAATGATTTACAGAGGTTTCTGAACAGAAATCTGAAAGGGGTTTTCCATTTAGGTAGATGTTCATAATTGCTTTTAAAGCTTCTTGTTTAAGACCAGTACGTATTGTGTTTTTTTGTAAGTTTATTGCTGCAAAGCCCCTTTCAACCGCTGCAGTACTCCCAGACAGAGAAAACATCAATATATGCGCAGTATGTTGCTGTATTGTGGGTCATTTTTCTGCCTTGTAACTTACAATACTCTTGTAAGATAACAAAAATTGAAAATGTATGACGAACATTAACGGGAAAATGGACGTCCGCGCGGACGTCGGATTCAAGAAATTCGTTGTCCGCGGAGAATTTTTGACCGTCGAGGACGGGCGGACGGGCTGTTTTTCGAGCCCTGGTTCAGAAACCTATTTGTGTAATCAAAAATGCGTAAAAAAAAAAAAAGAAGCGATTTTTAAGCATTTTACAGTTTTTGTAGACAAAACAAAGGAAATCCAACTTTAATAGTTTTCTGGTTTTTGTTAAAGGTTTAAGGGGACGGATGACGTGCGAAACCAAATGTGGAATTTATCTTTCATAATTTTTCAGAGTATTGATGTCATTTATAAAAGTTAATAGTTTATATATAATAGTCATTTATAATAGTTGTACAAAGTTAAAGAAAACAATACCAATTAGGTTTTAAAGTTAACTGATTTGAACAATACACTTATCATTAGGTTTCTTTTAATTGTTGATAGTTAAAAAGTTCCGCGTGAAAGAGTTTTGATTTTTTTTCTTAAATTATTTGTTTACGTTTTATTAACACTTTGTTTATGCGTAATTTTATAAAATTGAGGTGGTTATAACACACATCGATGATAAATAAAAAATTTATAGCGTACACAATAATTAACAATAATATATATACTCTTGTATGTGCATATGCATATTGTAAAACAGAATTTTTCCAATTCAAACTCTTGTAAGTTGTAAAAAAAAAACTGCAATTTGAAAACTATTGGCTGCATATTAATTAGGAACGTATGATGTTTTGATATCTCAAAAATCAAATATCCTATATCGATAGATTTTCCTTATTCTAAATACTTACTGTAAAAATAATAAAATAAAATAAATAAAATGAATTTTTTCTCTGTGTTTAAATGAAGTAGTACTGCCTATCCTACTGTATTTAAATTCATGAGTTTACGGCTTAAGTATTTCAGGCTGTACACGAATACTAATTTGTAATTTAGTGAGTTGCTTTACCTTGAATGTTTGTATAAATGATGATAAAAGTATTGGAGTTCTTCTCTATGATAAAAAATAGTTTTATTCCACAATTCAATTTTTTTTAAATTAAATTAACTACCATTTTTTAAAAAATTCTATTATTTGTAGCTGAATAGAACCTAGCCTTTAGATAAAAATGAATAGTGAAAAAAAGCAGTTTTTGAAAGAAAAGTTCGCAAAATCATTCGTAGCGATGCCAAAGAAAATGACCTTTGGCAAAACTGAAAGAAAACACAAATATTTTTAATTCTTACGTATTTCTTTTCTTGACTTCTTTCATTTTATTCTCCATCTGCGCATTGTAATAGAGGGCGTTGTTTTCTTTAGTTTTTAGTGTTTTCTTTTCATTCGACTTGCTTGTGAAATCGCTGTTTGACCTGTGACTAAGTGAGTTTTTATTTTTCTGATGATTTTGTTTGAGTTTCTTTTCTTAATTTGTTATTTGTATTTCATGTTTTTTCCTGGACTTCTATACAAAACCATCGGGGTACCGAGGGAGTTAATTTAGGCATTTGCTTCTCCCTCAATTAGAAATGGTTTTGTTTTATGGCTACCGAGGTCGGTACCCCCTGAAGACGTCGGCTTCGGTGGTCATATTTTTATTTTCATATCCTTCGTTTCCTTTATAACCTTTGGCAAAGACATTTTACCCCAAAAAGTTATGGAAATTTTAAAGAACCTGATATCCCAAAAGTACTAAAATTAAACGAATCATCTAGGCTGCTTCATGTTGCCAGAAAGGATGAAAAAATCAAATAAAAAAAGTTTTTGTTTTAAAGCTTGACGATAATGTTTTCTTGATTTTACTACAGCTGTTGTAGTTATAACATAAAAGTAACATGTCTATGAAAATTCATTAAATCAAATATGATCAACGATATTCATCGATATCATAACAAAAAAAATTAAATGTGCGGACTAACTCGCTTCTTAACAGTAAATGAACTATTTGTTACAAAAAGATTCTATCAAATATTCTTTTTTTTTTTTTTAAATAATAGATTGACCATTTGGTACCTTTAGATAGATTGATCATTTGACCATTTGGTACCTTTGTGGATAACAAGTAAAGGAAAGTTATACACTTTTTTTTTCTAATTGTAATAAAGTTCATTTTCTCAAATTCACTTAATCTTCAATCACTCAGCTGTTTATAATTCTCAATTGACCTTTATTTCCTCTCAAAATCGTGCGTATTCCATGTGATCTAATCTCTGTAATTCTGTTCTTTCAAACATGACGATATGTTGTAAGAAAGTCTGTAAACAAAATTTGTCGCCATAGAGATTTCACAGAAATGTATATTCAGGTGTAAGATATTTAGCTCATAATGGCAGATGTACTTTTTCAACTTTTTAAACAAGAGAAAAAACACAGGTACAGTTGATGATACTTTTTTGTTACCTCGTATTAACTTATTAACCTCGGAAAAACTATCTTAAACATTGGTTACAGTAGAGATAGTCATGATTAGAATGTTTATAAAATTCTAAATTTGAAGGAGAAAAAAATTGGAAAATTCAAGAATATTAAAGCAGTTTTTAAGTTCAGGCTTAAGTTCATCTTGTTTCGGTTCTTCTTATGTGGTTTTAAAAATACAAATTGTTGTGTTTAAAAAGAAAAATAAAACTATTCAGTTGTTTGACAGAACTAGTATTCATATTTTGAAGAAACGATAAAGTATAATGATTGTGGTGGGAATGTTTTTATTTTTTTATTATTTACCAGAAAAGAAACAGACAAGATGAGATATTTCAGTTTTCTTGAATCGCATGGTCCATTTTGGTAATCATAAAAACTTCATATAAATTTACAGAAAATAAAAAAGACGCAGCACTCTTATTTTCTTCCTCCATCAACAGTATTTATAGTTTCAGTATTAAAAATTTAAAAAATTAATGCTTTTAGTTCGAAAAAAATATTTGTTAACACTAGATTGCCCAAAGAAGTCATTTTGACTGCTTTTAATTTCAATTAGAAAAACAATAATGAGACAATTTCTTAGAATTTTGTACAACATATAATTTTTTATTGTCAATATTTACTAATAACTTGTTATATAACTGTAAATAATATACAAAATATTAAAAATTAATTTTAAACAAGTTTCTTTACACATTATTTATTGTTTTACAATACAGTCATTTTGACTGTTTTTGGGCAATATAGGTATATACTAAGTTTCAGCCTTTATAGCGTTTATAAAAGAACATTTTATTTTGCATTTTGTTTGGATAAAAAAATTTTATGATTGTGTAGAAAAAAAAATCCGATGCAACAATAAAGGTTACTACAAGTAATGCTAACAAAAGTAACTTTAAGGCGGCCAAATACCCATGCGCGCTTCTAACTGAACTATTGGAATGATATTTTTCTGTTTGCAGTTAGCATCACATATTTTGTTGCTTAAAAACCATATCCATTCAAAAAAGATATTTTTATTAAGAGAAAGAAATCCGATCATTTTGCACAAAAGTTGTAGAGAGTAATATAATTTTTTTTTCTCACCGTGTAGGTTCTTATGCTGATTCATATAAGAGAAACTTCTTGAATATTTACAATTTATTAAATTTACTGAATGGTATTCATGGAAATCGTATGTGATTTCTTACTATTATTTAGTGTTAATATTTAATTTTTCAGGAACCAGGATTCTCAGCAATGATTGAAATTGAAGACGTAACAGAGGATGAAAGAAAGGCTATAGAAAAGGTAAAGCTAAAAAGCATGATTTTTTACTATGTATAAAAACTTAGGAATATGTACGATAATCCTAAGTGTTATTTGAACAAAATTGATGATTCAAAAAAATCGGACTGCTGATAAAACGCTTGTTACTTCGTAAATGATGAGTTAAGTGAAAGAAAGGTTGATTCTAAGTAACAATTTTGAAATAAATTATTTCAACACCAAAAGATGCCAGTTTAGTCTTACGTAACCATAAGTATCTAATAATAATTTATTTTGCCAATTTTTTGTCAGATTTCAGTAAATCTAGATACTAAGTTACAATTTTCGACAGATTTTGGAGTAAGACGTAGGTCTTAGTCCACTTCAAGAAATAGCTGGCGAATAAATTCAGAAATTCCTTTCTCTTGGCATAAAATTAAAACGCCAAGATTACTAACATGCAGAGTTGGCCGTTGATTACAGTAATCGATTACAACTGTAATTGATTACAGATAATTACAGCTATGTAATCAATTACTTGTAATCACGATTACAAGTAATCAATTACTTGTAATCGTGATTACAACTTTCAAAAAATTTTGATTACAGCTGTAATCATGATTACAATTTTGATTACAGTAATCAATTACTTGTAATCACGATTACAAGTAATCAATTACTTGTAATCGTGATTACAACTTTCAAAAAATTTTGATTACAGCTGTAATCATGATTACAATTTTGATTACAGTAATCAATTACTTGTAATCATGATTACAAGTAATTGCGATTACAAGTAATCACAACAAAAACGATTACAAGTAATTATGATTACAAGTAATCAAAATATATGATTACATGTAATCATGATTACATGTAATTTGATTACATGTAATTGTGATTACTTGTAATCAAACTATACGATTACAAGTTATTACGATTGTATACTATAGTCAAATTTTTTATGTAAGTATTCATGTGTTTACATATTTTTATGTACATAGAATGTACGCACGCATGAACGTACAATTTGCGATTCCTATACATACAATGTATGCACAAACGTTGTTTGTACGTACAATATTCATAATTATATTGTAATATACTTAATGCAATGCGCATATGCTTAGTACATATAATTATGCATTTATGATACATGTACGCATGTATGTTAGTTTGTACAAAAAGGCAATGTTTTGTATCTTTGTATACATAGACAATGTATGTATGAACGTATATGAAAATAATGTTTATGCGTTTGCATGCTTTTATGTACTTAAGTGCATATATTGTATAAATTTACGATAATAGCACGTATATACAATGTACGTTTGTATATAAAATTGTACGTATTTGCGTACAATATGTAAAAATGTTATTTAAAGGTACAATATATGCACATAGTTGCGTAAATAAAATGCGTACATGTATACATGCATATTTATATGTACATCGATATATGTGCACGCAAAGTATGTACTTATGTACAACTTACGTATGTACTTGTATAACTACATACTTTGTTAATACTTATGCGCATGTAATGCATGGATGTACAAAAAAATAGTTATATGCACAATGTATGCATGTGCATACAACGTATACATGTACATAATTACAAGTAATGTACAAATACGTGCGTACATTTAAATATATGTAATTACAATATACACATACATTGTGCATACATTAAAAAAATTTATATGAGTAAAGTTATTAAAATTTGTTTTAAAATTATTCTAAGGTATATGAAACTCGACCTCATATTTTTTAGAAAGCAAACGATAATTTTATTTGGAATTTCTAAATATTAATTCCACACATAAAATTTACCGTTTTTCTTACCATTTAAAAAATTTCTATGAATCATGCATTATGTTATAAAAAAAATAAATCTGTATTGTCAAACATTTCATGAAAATACCTGAAAATAATTTTTTATTCAGAGAATTTCAAAATGATATAGAACAATTAAAGCTGAAAACTAAATTTAAATATCGTTTGATTTTGTCATTTAACTTGCTTGAGTCATTAAAAGTTAACTTACATGCATTTTATTTATTGCATTGTACACATATTTAGACATAAATGTAATGTACATATGTATACGTGTAATGTATGTACGCATGTACAATGTATGTACATACATTCATGTATTGTACGTGCATATATAGTACATATGGATATGCATACATGGAACATACGTGTATTGTACATGTGTGGATACATTCATTGTACATATATACATTGCACCATATGCATAGATAGGGATAGCATGCATGTACACATGTAAAATTTGTACGAAAGAATTATGCCCAATATATTTATGCACATACGTACTGTATATGTACACACATATGTACATTATATGAACATTATATGTTCATTTCATCATATGTACATTATATGAATATACATCTGTACGCTATATGTATATACATCTGTACGCTATATGTATATACATCTGTACAATATATGCATCTCAAATGTGTGTATGTACGTACGTTATGCATGTCGAATGCATGTATGAATATATGTGAAATATAAATACGCCCAATGTACGTACAATAGTTCACAAATGTATTATGCATATTTGGATACTTACATTGAGCATGAACATATTATGTACATGTACATAAATACACTGGACATGCATATCATGTACATGTATACATACATATATTGTACATCCTACAGATATACCTATATTGTACATGCATACATATATTGTACTGTTCATAAATAAATTGCACATACATGCATGGGACATACATTGTACAGACAATGTATGTATGTTCGTACAAACACAAGTACTTGTATATACATGCGTACATGAACATAGATATACATTTTACATACACAAATATTTGCATAAAATGCATATATTCATTGTGTATAAATGTACATGCCTACATTGTTTGCACATACATACGTAATTATTATCTATATACATACGTACATATATTTTATACCTACAATATAAGTGTATGTACATGTGTGTGATACTAAAATGTCTGAACATATGCACTAGATAAAATCATATGTACATACATTTCAGTTACATTCATTTGTACGTATACAAATACGTACAAAATGCAGTACATGTTAATACGTGCAAAATGTATCATTATAAAATACATTCTACTATCTACTGTAAAATATAATCATTTATAAGAATACAATAGTCTTGTAATCGTGTAATTAGATTACATGTAATCATAATTACATGTAATCAAATTACATGTAATCAAATTACATGTAATCATATATTTTGATTACTTGTAATCATAATTACTTGTAATCGTTTTTGTTGTGATTACTTGTAATCGCAATTACTTGGAATCATGATTACAAGTAATTGATTACTGTAATCAAAATTGTAATCATGATTACAGCTGTAATCAAAATTTTTTGAAAATTGTAATCATGATTACAAGTAATTGATTACTGTAATCGACTATGTAATCATGATTACAGCTGTAATCAAACTTTGTAATCACGATTACAAGTAATTGATTACTGTAATCAATATTGTAATCATGATTACAGCTGTAATCAAAATATTTGAAAATTGTAATCATGATTACAAGTAATTGATTACTGTAATCAAAAAATGTAATCGATTACATTTTTGGCCAACTCTGCTAACATGCACTCCAGAAAATACGCGAACAATTAAAAACAATGTTCGGGATTAGTAGATTATATCAATTCGTAGCTTGTAAGCAAGAAAAAAAGGAAATGCGTAATACCTAATTGGGTACTTAAAACTAGACAAGAAGATACCAATGAAATGGCTGTACTTTCTTATTTCTGGCATGTTACAACTAATACGCTAGGTTTTTTAATCAATTTTCGGATCAGATTTACGGATCAGATAACACTTATAAGTTACGTCACACGCATGTGTTAAACCTGATTTGCTGCTGAATCGTGACATAAGCAAATGCCAGGATTTACTCACGCGTCGTTTCGCTTGCAGGTATCCGACCCATAAACTTTAAAACCAGTTTATTCCAATTTAATTAAATGCCATTTCAGACCCTCAGCTATCTATGACAAATGTTTTACGTTTCGTTAATCATTATTGTGTAAAAGTCAATCACTTCTTCATCGCGCAAGACTTTCCCGTTTCGTTCATCAAACACAATCGTAATCTTTTCCGAAAATGCTTGTTCATAATTTTTCTTGATCTTTAAAATAATAAACGTATTAGGATAGGTTTAAAACAGCCAACTATTAAATTATATTATTGTTTTTTTTAGATGATTTTTCATCACATTTTTATTTTTTTTGCCAAAACATTTAAAATTTATTTGTTCATTTCGTCTTATCACGCTAAACAGCAAAGTACAAGCTTCTGTATGCATACTTCCTGATTTTGCTAGTTTTTTACAACGCTTCTTCATAATCTTTTTCGTGTCTGTAACGGTAGAATTTTGTAGCAAAAACTTCGATGTAAGTTTCAATATCTCGTCATATTATCAGCTTGGAATTCCGACCATTTCCCGGCAAACTAAAGTTATCAAATCTCTATAGGAGCTCGATATCCCATGAAATTCCAAAGCTCCAAACATTCCAAGTTCCAATTTTTTTTTTTAAACAGATCGCTACTAACAGAAATTATCGCCAATGGAAATTTAGACCAACTAAAGATCTCAAATTTCTCTTTATTTTTGCCTTGTGTTTGATGCTAATACAAGTTGCAATTGTTCTCGTAATGGTCTGATAAACGGGAAGGGTTATTTACGCAAATAAGAATTTATTTAACGATAGAGCTTATTCCTTTTTATTCCATAGTCATGTTAATTTTTATTAAAAGAAACTTTACCCTCATAGTCGAACAAAAGAGAACAATTAATAACCTAAGTTTGTAATATCGTTCTTAATTAGTATATTGAAGAGCATGCACATGCAATACTAACGAAAACGGTTAATTATGTATTTTATTTTTATAGCCGTAGTTGAACAGCCGACCCAATTTTTGGGTTTACGTTTACTAATGTTCAACTCCGCAGCCTTGTAATTTTAAACCAATTCTGAATACACAGAAACTCCTGAATTAATACCCCCAAAGGTATTGATTTGTTATGGGAATATGGAGGACTTTTGCGACTCGACAGATTTAACGTTGCATCAGTCACTTTACTACACGGGGAGTCTTCGGTAGGCAGGGTTCGAACCCACGAATTGTCGGACATGGGCCTAGCGCCCTACCAACCTGGCTATCCCTACCTCACATGCTTCAATTTAAATCTAAAAGTGAAAAATCCATCTTATCGAAAAATAAAGATACCGTAAATGAATATTCGCTAAGTTGGGGCCCAACTGTATGTAAAAAAAAATTCAAAATTAAAGGATTTAGCTGTTAAAAAAGTTAGAAATAAAGCGAGAAAAAAATAAAAACCATTAAAAAAATATTTTGAACCTTTATATCCTACCTTCCTAAAAATATCACATTTTGATTACCCTTAAACGTTTTTCGCACTTAAATTTTTACTTAAAACTTCTAATTTATATATTGTTTGAAAAAAAATATTTTTGAAAATATATGTTACGAGATGATAACTTAATTTTCAGTCAATTGATAATAAACAAGTTGAGTAAAATATCAAATTATTTTCCAGTTAAGGAGAAGAATTGAACACGAATTAACACCAGCACTACTTGAAGATAAATCTCTGTACTATAGATTTTTAAAAGGTATGTCATTCAGAAAAATATTCCATTTTCTTAAAAGTATATATATATATATATATATATATATATTGTAGAGTTTTTCCGCTTATATGGGGATTGCGGGCTTATGTCAATTACTTGTGTTATTCATTAAACATATATTATAACAACACTTTTATTACAAATAACACATCAAACAAATTGGGAAAACCACCGAATGATCGACTGGTATCAATCAGATTCATACTATCTTTGGTGTTTTAATATCAATTCATATTCAACGTGATTACACATCACCGACCGCCATCTGTCGGTATAAAATGGTATCACTTATTATCATCCATACACTACGCTCCTCCCTTTTACAATCTGAAAAAAAAGAAAAAAAAAAACAAGGCAAGCAAATTAATCATAATAAACAATTACAAAACAAGAATTAAGAAAAGGGCAGAATAATTGTTTTACCATTTTGCCTTAATTGAATTGTTTTCCGTAAGTAGGATGAAAGAAATTTTGAAGGAAGTCAACGTCGAAGCATTATTCTGGACATTTTTAATATTTTTTTTTCGCCCCCCCCCCCCATGCTTTAACCTTTTGACCGAGGTAGGGACCTCTAATAACAAGTAAAAATATTTCTTGGTATTTTTAATTCTAAAAAACAGTCTAATATTTTTTTTAAAAAAATCTTTTAGAATATCAGAATTATATTTGTATTGAAAGATAAAATCCCAAAAAAAGAAGTTTGAACTTTTTTTTCCCATTTATATTCAATTATTTATCAATAACTGAATTTGAAAATTAAGGAAATTTCAATGGTAAGGAACTATTTCTCTTAGATATAAATAGTTGCAAATAAGTGAAAATTTGAAAATTTATTGTTTGAAAGTTAACTGTGTTTTTATGATTTTACCTTAAACGCAGCAAAAGGCACCGGTGTCTCTTGATTGAATTTGATAACCATAAATTATTAAAATTCTAAGTATAATATTTTTCACTTATTTTGATCTAAATTTATACGAAAAATAAAAAGATTATGAAATTATGGTTAATAAAAATTTTGCATCAAAGAGTAAATTAAATTGTTTGTTAAGTGAAATTGAAGCAGGTTGATATTGACACCGGACATTTTTTTTTCTTTTCCTCCAAATCTTCAATTGAATTGTTTTCCCAAAATCTGATGAATGCCCGGGGCAACATTAAAGCAGGCTGATGTTGACGCATTATTCCTATTATTGGGTTGTTTTTTTTTTTTAAAAAAAATTGCGTTTTTATTTAATGTTTTGTTCTTCTAAAATTTACCTAATTTGATTTTAAATTTCTTGATAAAAATGAGATTTAAAACTTCTAGGGAAAATGAGATTTAAGGATTCATTTAGAATCACTGAAAAATACAAGACATTCAGGGTTTCAGTTAAACAAGTATATATTAATATTATTATATGGGGAGCAGATCGAAATTCAAATTATAAAATCTAACTTTTATAATTGTTTTTCAATTGATCATCATATTTTTTAAATTAATTTCCGTTATCACTTATATTATTCACTATTTATGTAAGATTTATTTATAATTTGTGTATTATAATATAAATTTAATTTTTTTTATGTAATCTTAATGGTGTATTTATGCAATAATAGTATTAATATCCTTAACACTAGGAAGACTGAAACTTAGCATGTACCTATATTGCCCAAAAAGCAGTCAAAATGATTGTAAATAAATAAATAATGTGTAAAGAAATTTGTTTAAAATTAATTTTAAATATTTTTCATATTATTTACAGTTATATAACAAGTTATTAGTAAATATTAACAATAAAATAATAATATGTTGTACAAAATTCTAAAAAATTGTGTGATTATATACATAATTTTTTTTCTAATTGAAATTAAAAGCAGTCAAAATGACCTCCTTAGGCTATCTAGCGTTAAGGAACTAATTATTATTTTCAAAATTATGTTTGTAAATCAATTTTATTTTAATCTATCACCGTCGTTGAACAGTCGACCCAATTTTGTGTTAACGACTGTCAATGCTGAACTCCGTAGCCTTTTAGTTTTGGACCCAATCTAGAAGACAAGGGTACCCCCTGGATCAAATATTAGGTGAAATTTACCGTCGTGGAGGACTTTTCGATGGAAATTTAACCCCAGCTTGGGTTAGGAACTGAACTGTATGAAATCTACAGAGAGCCAGATATTGTGAAATTCATGAAAATAAATCGAATGAACTGGGCAGCTCACATTTTCAGAAGGAATGATGACTCAAATTTAAAGAAAATCCTATTACACAAACCCCTAACGAACAGGAAAAGAGGTAGACCCAGGCTGAGATGGCTGGATTTAGTTGTGACTGATTTCCTTACTCTAAAGGAGAAAAACTGGCAAACAAGTGTCAAAAGTAGAGAGAAGTGGATTCGAATTCAAAGGAAGGCACTGGCCCACCCTGGGCTGTCTAGTCAGATATGATGATGGGTTAGGAAAACCACGAAAACACCAATGGTTAGCCTGGAGGCAAGATGACTCTAACCCATGATCCGTCTATCATTGAAGATATTTTACGTCAGCACTGCGGTCGGTGCGAGTCGAGTGCTAAATTTGTATCGACCAGGGATTCGAACCCAACTGACCTCATTGGGAGCTGAAAGCTCTATCCACTTTTTCAACACCGCTCTTGTAAATCAGTTGTGGTTTTCTTTACTTTTTGTCAACAAATGAGTTAACAGGTAGACAAAGCTATCGAGAAACTGAGTAGATCGCATGCGCACTAATAACATAAATATTTTTTGCTACAACATCGAACCTTAATACGAGAATATTGAACCATAACACGGTGCAATTTTTCGTCATTTTAAAAAAAGAGTTAAATTGCAATGAGTTCCCGTTCAAATTGAATCACAATATCGTTATAAACTACGATGATGCGGTTTCCCTAAGCAACTTTTAAAGTTGAAGTTATGGTTCCCCAAACTTCAAAATTTCTAATAACGCATCTATTTTCCTTTTAAAAATTTGAATTTAAAGAGCACGTTTGCTTTTTCTTGTAGTAGTTATTATTGTTGTAAGATACTCACAAATTTAATAATATAGGGAATTATTGAAAGGAATTAAAGAATTATTGAACAATCCTTAAATATTATTCTTATTCTTAAATTAGTAGAATACTAAAACCGAATATTTTTTGATTACTTTAGTTGTTTAATTTCATGCTTTCATTTCTAGCTCGAGATTTCAACATTACAAATGCTGAAGCTCTGATTCGAAAGGTAAGAGCAAAATATTGTTATTTATTATTTTTTCTTATTATTAACTTAATCTTTCTATGAAAAGTTTTGTGTAAAAAATAATAAATAAAGAATCAAATTTCAGATTTATAAAGAATTAGATAAGATAATCTGATCAGCAAAGAATCAGATTTGTTTATTATATTTTTTACAAATCCCGTCTGTAAAAAAATTTAATAAATAAATCTGAAATGTTTTTTTTTTTAAATATCCAATGGCACATTAAAAGAAAATTGAACATCAAAAAGATAACAATAAATCTATAAATAAGAGCGAGCAGTCCAGTAGCGCTCCCAAATAGATTTCTGAGGAAGAGCAGAGCACCTAGACTGGTGAGACAAGGTCACACAATGTACAGAAGGGATCATGTTGAATAGAGTAAAACTAGGCAAATTATGAGAGAATAATTGAAAAACAGCATAAACCGAAAATGATTCATTATTGTTTGTCCTCATTGTTTTACATTATAAAATCAAGGAAGAGTTCGTAAATTCGTTCCAGTCCAAACCTTAGCACCTAATTTCTTGTATCAAACGTTGAACTCGAATAGTGTATGGACTAACAAAATCTATTGGTTCAAATAATCGACCTGCTGCTTATAACAAGCATCTTTTAGATTCCTTTCCTTTGAAAAGAAATGTTTTTTAAAATCATTGTAAAATGCATAAGTTTTCTCATTCCATTCAACTCCTGAGACCTTAGAAGTTATCAAGTTAGTGCCCAGTATACTTCCAGATACATAAACTTAATTCAAACTCTTGAATTAAGAAATTCTTGATTCTTGAGTATTCTTGAGTATTTTCAGGTGAGTTACTGAAAATACTCAAGAAAATACTTAAAATTCTTGAGTATTTTCAGGTGAGTTACTTCTCTATTTTCCAAGGTCCATACTTTCTTCAGATAATTTTTTTTATATCTTAGCTGCAAGTAGGAAAGGGCCCGTGGCCCGACTTCACTCCTAATAAAACTCTGCACATTCGAAACACATCTAACTTCGTTTTTTTTCCAAATCTAAATATCCTGGTCATCATCCCCAAAAAATCTTGCCAAGCCTCTTTCACTTGAATAATTTCAATCATCAAAGAGGCAATTTTAATATCTGCTACGAAAGCAATTGGGTTTTTTTCCTTTCTGGATTTTATCAAAAGGCTAAATAAGTTGGGTATGAAATTAAGACTGGTGTGTAAACATTCATTTAAACTTGGCCACCTTTTAGTCTGCATCAAATATAATCCATACTTTGCTTGTAGCCTTATCGGAACGTATTACTGCTCTATGTGATAGATAAAATGTGTTTTCCTACAAATAGAGCATGATCGATGATATTCTCGGAAAGAAAGTTCATTATAATTGATTTATATTCAGTGGGGAAAAAATAGAATCCTTTCTTAAAGTTGTTTTTAACTCCAAAAGTCTTACTCAGTATTTTCTAACAACGATTTCATATGCTGTTTCAAAGGAAATTCAACTTTATATCAACTTCGAATTAATATCTTATACCAAAATTAACTAAACATTATTGACCTGACGATGTTTGACCTTCCACTTAAAAGATTCAGTACTATTGATTCATTAGTTTTTTTAGTTTTTTTTTTAAACAATTTAAGTAAACATGTGGTTCCGTATTTCTTAAGGAATACTCATTTGATGACATAGCCCGACTATGCTACCTCACTCACGTTGATCATTGAGACCATCTGATATAACGAATAAGAAATGATTGAATATCTAAGAACACGCAAAAATTCCATGTTTGATTAATGCATTAATGAGAGCTATAAACAAGCATCACTGAATCTATATTTAAAATCTTTCGTAGTTTCATTTATATTAGTGAGAAAATCTCATTTTTTAAATGTCCTGAACTATCTAAATGGAATTTTCGAGCGAATTTCTTGATTTTAGATAAAATAACCCCTTTTATTCTTTATTCGAATTTTAAGATGATTGAATTAGCGGTTCTGGAGTTATAAGAGAATCAAATAGACAAACTCTTTATTTTATTATTATAGATTTTTATTGCATAATTGAATCACATTTAATGATTTCTCTCACTATACTACAGTAGAATGGTGAGAGACTATATTCTCACTATACTTTTCATTTGCAATAGAAAATAAATCGCCACGATTGAAGTTATGTTTCTATTTCCCTACACATAAATTTCCTATGTGCACATTTTAAGTAAAGAGTTCAAAATATTAAAGCAATTAAAAATAATAATACTTCCAACGGAAAAACGCGCTTAGCAGCAGTGAATCCAAAAGGAATTGAAATAAATGAGACAATGAAAAAAATCGAATAAATATGACAACCAAAGCTGCCGTCTTCAGGGGGTACCAGCTCCGGAAGTCATAAAAGCAAAACCTTGCTTTTATGTACCCCCTGAAGATGTCAGCTTTAGTTGTCATATTTATCCGATTTTTTTCATTGTCTCATTTGTTTCTTGTGTGCACGTTATTTTGTTTACAAGAAAATACTTTTACAGTGAATAATTTTATAATGCAAATTATATTTTTAAATCTTATAGCATATGCTTCTCAGGGAGAAATATAAAATAGACAAGTTTGTTCTTAAAGACTATGAGCCACTTGCAGTAAGTAACACGTATGTTTATCTTTGACATTATTTTATTACAAATTTTCCTATATTATTATGTTGTTTCTCATGCCATTTTTCACCTTCATTATTAGAGACATGACAGATCTCCAGAGAGCATTTTATTCTGCAATGAGATAATAAATTGTTATTTCTAAATTAAGATTCTTTATACTATTTTTGGTTTCATTTTGACAGAATGCAGAAACGTGCATAAATTACTGAAACCCGGGTATAAGAAATCGGCAGGTCCGGTAGTAAAAAATTGGTAGGTCAAATATGATATTTTTTTAATGCTGAATTTAATGCAACAAGCGAAAAAGATTTTCCGTCTCTTTTCGAGTTTCGTGAAAGCGCGGGAAACCACCTTTGGAGGTCCTCCCTTAACCCTAATTGCGGTGTTCTAAAATTTAGAAAATCAGGAGTAGGAAGCAAATTTCACTCCCGTCATCAGCGTCAAAGGGATCATGATCAGTGATTACTAGAGCCCGGATTTTGATGACCTAAAAAATCTCAATTAATGCCCTTAAAAAGTGCAAAAAAATGCCTTTAAAAACTGCAGAAAATGCCCTTAAAATGCGAAAATTGCGCTAAAAATGCCTTATGACATGACTTAAATAGAAGTAAAAATATTGAACTAAAACAATGTTTTACTCTTTAAAATTATTATGAGTCGTTTCAAAAAATATAAAGCAATGCAATACTTGTTCTACGTTCATTAAAGTTTGAAAAATATGTTTTATACCCTAAAAAAAAAAAAAAAAGGAAAATATATTGACTCCAAAACATTTTCATTTTGTATAGAAACTTAAATGAATATAACAACTTCCATCTCATAATATTACTAAATATCAGAATTACAGTGGATTATTAAATTTTTTTTAATATTTTGAAATGTAAACGAGCGTATCTCTTGTCTGAAAGCAAATTTTTATACCAGGAGAAGCTTCTTTCAATGTCTACTGATGTTATTGGTGCGTACTTGAAAAGGACGGTCACACTTACTGACAATTCTTCCTCAATTTGAAAAGATGTTACTTCACGTTTTAATATCCTAGAGATTTTCTTCATTGTTTGAAAGCCAGTGTAATAATAAAAAATTATAAAAAATAATAAAAATTAGAAAAAAATTAACTAAAAATTTAAAAAATGCTTTAAAATGCAAAATACGCTCCAAAATTTAAAGAAAATGCCCTATAAATCTCAAAAAATGCTCTAAAGGACAAAAAATGTCCGAAAATGCAAAAAATGCAAATGTCATCAAAATCCGGGCCTTAGTGATTACCTTTCCTACTTCCCTCCCCCAGTGGCAAAAAGAGCCCCTCAGAAGACCTCGTTATCTTCTTATCGAGTGAAAAAGTTAATATCGTAGTGACGAACATGTATAATTGTTACCAGGCACTAGAAACCCAATGAAAATAATCGGGTCCGGCTTCCCTTTACAGGATCTTGAAATAAAAAACTGAGTCCGAGAAGCGGGTATTGGGTAGCAAATTTCGTCTGCCGGGTTCGGGAAATGAATATCTGCCCTAGTACTGGGTAACTGTCAAGAACCCAATTTATATCTTGTTGTAATTTCAAAACACCGGAAATAACTCAAACTATTTTTTTGTAAAACCACTAGAAAGTAATTCCAAGTCCGACTAGTCAAAAAATAAGTAACTAAACAGGTAAAAAAAAAAAAAAATTTTTTTTATGTAATCCTAATGCATTTTTCCTGTTCAATACATAGAAATAAATGAGTTTTTTCAGTCTCAACACATTTAATTATACTGAAAAATTATTCTGTATTTTAGATTTTAAATGAATATTATCCTTCAGGCTTTATGTGTTATGATAAAGAAGGAGCGGTAGTGCGGTATTGTGATGTTGGCAACATGGATATGAAAGGTAAAAAATTCTAAAACACTATAACTGAAAAGTATCCGACGAAAATACTATAATGAATGAAAATATTATAATTAAAAATCTGCTATAAGCAACCAAAAAAATTACAACACTATAACTAAAAAATTTACAATAAGCAAATAAGAAAATCAAACGATATGGCTAAACGAAACATAACATAGCTTTTCTTCGTAGACACGATGTTAGTATTCTTAAGTAGACCTGCTTATAAGCCTACGGTAAGAATATATGTTGTACAGACCACATGATGAAGGTTAAATATTCAAATAATCCCTTCAAGTAGAGATTAAGTGCAAGCATTCATTAAGAAATTCAACTTTTACATACCACGTTCTAAAAATAGTTTGTCATATTAATCGGTAAAATAAATGATTTGAAAAAGGGTAATATTTATAAGAATTTTAATGGAATATCAATTTTAACAAGTCATACCTACTGTCTGAAAACAGTAAAATCAACTTTTCTCCAAAAGTCTAGAGCTTGTCAAAAACTATACTTACAAGAATTAACTATTTCAAGAAGGAATATGGAGTAAACAGCTGGGACAGATTTTAAATCGGGTCAGCAGGAGAATTTATCAAATGTGGTCTTGCATATATTTTATTTTATAACCGTCGTTGAACAGCCGACCCAATTTCATGAGTTTACGACTACTTACGTTCAACTCCGTAGCCTTGTAATTTTGAACCAATCCAGAAGACAAAGAAACTTCTGGATCAGTACCCCCAGAGGTATTGATTTGTTGTGGGAACATGGAGGACTTTGAGACTCGACAGATTTAACGTGCATCAGTCACCATTTACTACACGGGGAGTCTTCGGCCGGCGAGGATCGAACCCACGACCTCTTGGATATGGGCCCAGCGCCCTACCGACCAGGCTATCCCGGCCTGTCTTGCATATATTGTACAAACAAAATTCCTTCTTCAACTTCAACTTAAAGAACATGAAAAAAATCAAGTGAAGGTGACATGTCATTGTGTTGACCTTCGCACGTTTCGGAATTGTCAGTGTTGACAATTTGAAGAAGAGCCTCAGAGCTCAAATAAATCTTGTTAGGCTAAATTAAGCCTTACCTATTGAAACGCAGTGCTATAAGCGAAAGCAGAGAGCACGCCGCACTTTACCATACTCAATACTCAACATGAAAAATATACTGAAACCAAGTCTTTTACCTATCTTCCATTGCTCTACATAGTTCAGTTATAATCATAAGTTTGTGTTTCCTTCTACTAATACCAACAAAAAAAAATTCTCTTCAGTTACCGAGCTTGCTTCTTGAGAGTCATTCTTTATTCTGAAAAATTTCAATGTTATAATTAATTCTCTTTCTAATATCAGTACGTTTCCCAATATATGAAGGTCGATTCCAATTTAAACTGTTGCATCCTGGAGTACCCACAAAATTCCCTCACACTTATTTCTTATCTCCCATTTTTATTATCTCGTTCAAACTTGTCCCTCTATTGCTATTGGTTGAATAACTTTTCACGTGTTTGTCTCTTTATTTCTATACCATTATTTGATGTTCGTTTCTATATTTTCATTTGTGCTTTATTCACGTTTTTTTTTTTTTTTTTTTTTTTTTTTTTTTTTTTTTTTTTTTTTTTTTNTTTTTTTTTTTTTTGGTTTTTTTTTAATTTTTTTTTGCATTAGTTCTACATAGCTCAAAGTATACTCTATCTTTTTTGGAGATTATAACCTTACAAACAAATTTAATCCATAGATATTTAACTTCACAAAAATCAAACCCTAAAATTGCTTATCTCCTCTAGTTTATTATTTTCTAAAAATATGTCATTTAATTTTTTCGGATTAATTTTCAAAATTTATGCTTATGATTAATGTTAGTCAGTACACATTAGTCGTCTACAAAATCAAAATCAGAAATATATTCTGCTAGGTTCCATCTGACACACTTTTTTTTAGTTGATTCTCTTTTCATAATCTAGCCAATACCATTTGAAAAGATTGTTGGAGAAAGTATACAACCCTGCCGTCGGAATCAACGTCGAAAGATTCTGATAGTTGTCCGGCATGCATAGCTCGTATAGTGCAATTGTATATATGTATTTCTGATAATGTGTTTAGAAAATATTCGGGAATTCCATAGTGCTTCAACAGCTCCAAGAGTGTTCTTCTGTGTAAACTGTCAAAAGCCTTTTCAAAATCAATGAAACGTAAATATAGTGTTGATTCTCTTTCAACAGATTGTTCGACTATAATCCTTAATGTCGCAATGTGGTCTGCTCATGTTCTCTGAAACCTGCTTTCTCTGGTTGCTGGCTTTCGTAAATTTCCCTCTTTTCGTCAATTTCCCTCTCCTCGCCCTCTCGTGAATTTCACTATTCTAGCCAAAATTTTGCTACATACATTTAACAAAGTGATTCCTCTCCAGTTGTCACAAATCGTCAAATCACCTTTTTTTGGTAGTTTTATCATCAGGTCTTGACCCGGCCACTCTTCTCTCTTCATTATTTTATAAAGCAGGTTAAAGCTTTAATTGCAGTTTTTGAACTTTCATTGAAAAAGTCCCCAGGTAGGTTATCACTGCCAGTAGCTTTCCTACATTTAAGCTATTTCATTGCTTGCTGCACCCAAGCTGGGTTGTTGTACCTGTCTCTATGTTTAATTGTACGGGTGCTTCTTCTGGAATATTTTCCCCGAAATATCAGGATATGGTTTGTTTTAAGTTTCCTTGAATTGATCAATCCACTTTTTGGTCTTCTTTTGTAGTACTTTTTAAACCTTGTTAGTTCCTTATTATCCACTCAATCACTCGTCTCTAATTTTGTATATGATGTTATAAATCTAACTAGTTCTTTAGCTGACGAGGCCAGCACATCCTTTTATCTTATCCTGCACTTATCTTACATTCTTTATTTTTTCTATTATCCTCCAAACGTTTTAATTTTATATTACCAAGTTCTTTCCTGATCACGTTTTGTCTAATTTCACGTCTTTCAAAAACTAAGTTGATGGTCTTTTCAGTTATCCACTTTCTATCATCAAATTTCTTCTTTCCAAAAATCTCATCCGCACTTTCTATAGATATTTTTAATTTCTTCCCATTCTTCATTTCTTTCCACCATGCCTTTTCAAGTGATTTAAAGCCGAGAAGCGATTTCTCAAAGTCAGTTTAGATTCGTGGTCTTTAATTGCTATCGACATTAAATCTCTTGTTCGATATCTCCCTTTCTTCATGTTACTCAACTTAATTCTTACTTTTCCAATGACCAATAAATGGTCAGAAACCTCTCTTGCACGAACATTTAATGAAGACCTCTTCCATTTTTTATCTATAGTGATGTGGTCATTTAGTTTTCTTGCCTTTTTATCGGGAGACATCCAAGTAGCCTTATGGAACTTTTGTGTTGAAACATTGTTTCTGCTATACATAAATTGTTAGTCATGCAAAAATGGATAAAAGCTCCCCATTTTCCTTCATCCTTCCAAGTTCATGAGTTCCAATTGTAAATTCAATTCCGCAGTTCTCTGATCCAACTTTAGAATTCAGTTCGCAAGTAACCATCAATGTGTCTTTTGAATTAATACTATCTTTAGTATCTTGTGGAACTTAGTAGAACGCTTGTTTCTCTTTATCATTACTATCATTAGTAGGTGCATGTACATTAATAATGGACATATTTTTCTGTTTTCTACTGTTTTAAAATTAACATTCTTGGCATTAGTGAAATTAGGTATAATACAAATGAAAAGACCCAACTTGGAAAGTCTATTATTTTCTCTGAATATGTAAATGAAGATGATATTCATTGTAGAAGAGTGGCATTCTTACTTTCCAGAGCAACTAGAAAATTTTTGATGTCCATTTCTGTATTTTCATTTGTGCTTTATTCACGTCATTTTTATTTATTTATTTTTTTTTGCTTTAATCTGCACAGCTCAGAGTATATCTATCTTTTTTGGAGATCTTAACCTTTTGAATAAATTTGTTCAGGCAATATTTTACATTTTCAAACACAAGAGTGTATTTACTAGAAATAAGCATACCGTTATTACAGCGAACCATCACAAAATACTCTAGTTTCACAGAACAATGCTAAAGAGAAGCTTTAAAATAGAAAATAAAAGTATCTTAAGTAAAAGTATGTTAAGACAATGAGAAAGGTTTTTAGAACCGAAACTGTAGTATGTCGGTTCCTGTATTTTCATTTGTGCTTTATTCACGTTATCTTTTTTCCCTTTAGTCTGTCAAAGTATACCCTATCCTTTTTGGTGATCTTAACCGCATGAATAAATTTATTCAGGCAATATTTTACATTTTCAAACTCAAACACAAAAGTGGATTTACTCGAAATAAGCATACCTTTGTTGCAGCGAACCATCACAAGATACTTTATTTTCATAGTCCAATATTAAAGAAAAGCTTTAAAATTGAAAATAGAAAGATTTTTAAGGGAACTATGTATAGTTATTTTATTCTTCCTAAATTCATGTTGTCATTATAAAATGTATGAGATGGCAAAGGAAAGAAAAACACGTGTTTCATTTGTTTTCATTTTTTTTCCATAAATGCTCACTAGTAGTTATAAAACGATTATGTTCCAAGACTTTGCCTAATAATTCTCTTACTCCGTATCCCCTTATTCCGTATTCGAAAGAACTTCAACTTCGCAGCTATCCTCCTGTTTTCGCTGTAAACGGTCTCATCTTGTAGTCAGCGTTACTATACTTTTTTTTAAGCAATAGTATTGGAAAGTTAATGAGTGTAGACTTAAGTGGCCTCGGTATATTTAGATACATAGTTAATTTAAGTATATCTTTGTTACATATTTAAATATAATGACACGTCATTATAAATACAGGCCTTTTCTCTATGTTCACTTTTGAGCAAGTTGCCCAACATGCTATTTCCTGTTTGCAAAGTGATGTTGACAGACTTACAGAACAAAGCAAAAAGGTGAGTGACTGTAATTTGATTAATAAAAAATTAATTATGAATCCTCGTAAATAAAACTTTAATAATTTTTAGTTTTAAGAAACGGATTTACATGCAAGCATCAATGCTCTGAAATGCCCTACGTGCTTGGAGAATCGCAATGTGTATGGTGCTTTGGAATCCATGCTATAAGAAATGCGTGCAAATTTTGTACGCTTTCACTTGAAAAAGGTAGCACTTCCGCCGAGCTTTCCCGCTCTCAGTCATACTACTTGAGTATAGTTAACCATCTCCAGCCTCTCAGTTAGACGCTTGTGCAGTGTGAATCGAATTTAGAAGGAGGAAGAATTCAAAAAGGTGGAATGGAGAAGAAAAATCTTTTTGACACATAAATTTCAAAATGGTTTTAAAATAAAATGATAAAGCCTACACATTAAGGCATGGGTTTAAAAGAATAACTAAACAAATAAGTTACAATAATTTAAATAAAAAGATTTTTCAGATTCTGGAGAATATCTGCTGAGTTGAGAGCAAAATTGGAATTATAATATGATCGAAACCAGATAATTTACCTTGTAAACTTGAACATTTCTTGTAATTGCAACATTCGTTGTACCTTAATAACATTACGCTGACAAAATTAAAAAAAAAAAAAAAGAGTTTGACAGCATTCCTTATGTCTTACATAAAATAACCTCGTAAACTTCTAGATGACTCTTATTTTCTGGGATTGCCCTTCCCCTATATTTATCAATTTTCGATATTTTTGTCTATGTATTTCATTTGAATGATTATGTATTTGAAGGAAGGATTTGATCGTTTTTGATCTCCATTTTTAAAATACTTTCGTAAAAATTTGCATTCCGACGCTATTTCTTGTGAGTGGAAATTAAGGTAAGCGTTACCGAACGTAGTGTAAACGTAACGCAAAACCTCTCTGCATTGTTAAATACGAATACTTTTTTTTTTTAAACAATACAACAATGTTTTACAATTTAATTCTTTTTACAACTAAAACTTGAAGGGGAAAAAAAGATATAACGTCTTGAATGTATGATAAGAGCCATAAAAATCCTATTAATAAATTCAAGAAATTTTTCCTAAGGAGTCAAATATGCTCTTTTGAAAACTATACTAACTAAAAGAAATAAAAAAATTATTTTAATTCAAAAAAAAAAATCTTAATTCTTTTAGACTTTAAAAGAAAAAAAATTTTTTGACCAAAAGTAAAACATATTTATCAACATTCAAATTTTAAATGAATTTAAGCAAATACTCAGACCAATCGGATACCTGCAGGCAATGACACGCGTTGGTCGGCCAATTAGGTTCGACACACTCATGTGATGTCACTTACAGGTATCCCATTAAATCTAATTCGAAAGTTGATTCAGTGTGATAATGAACACAAGCTCTAAAGTTGTACCACATATGATTAGTTGCAAGTACCTAATTACCAAGTTTTAAAGTAATAGATTTATTATTCGGTGATTTATTATACGGTAATTTTATTATACAGTTTTGGTAAAATCCTCTTAGTGCATTGCAATGACATTTCTGGAAAAAAACATTAAAGTCTGTATAATAAAGCGAAATATAATGCATTCAAATCATTTATTTTTCTAATTTTTCGTAACTGCTTACCAGAAATTCTGGTTTTAAGAATTATAGCTCTACTTCCACACATTCAGTAAAAAATTTAAAGATGAAAAGTAAATGTAACCGAATAAATAGTTTTTGCGTAATGTATCATGATAAAATTACTAAAATTTATCTCATTTACCAAATTTTATCCTTTATTATAAAACCATATTTTATTGTTAATTTTATCAATTATTATCAAAATGGTTCGTTAAAAATTTTGGAGCTTTCAGGTGCACCATCAGGTGCACCCATAAAATTTACCCTATTCTGGTAGTTTTGACTACTTTTATTTCAGTGTAGAAGTCGCGCAATCGTGAGTGCTGGGAAAAATTTAAATTTTAAAAAGCAGATTAGAAGACCAAACTTTAAATAAACTTAAAACAAAATTCTTGAGTTTGCCGGCGATTTCAGTATAAAAAATGGGTGCATTTTTTTCTGTTTTCAGTATTATTTAATACTTGGTGTCCGATTGCTCAGAATAAAACATGTCATAATGTATATTTCCCCCCCCCCAAAAAAAAATAAAAAAAAATGTGTAAGGGAAATAACTCTAGACCCCTTTCCTCCCCAAATAATTAAAACAAGTGGGCGAGAAGAAAAGATTCATGAAGAGAGTTGAAAGGTGCCTGGCAAAATAATCCTTCCTTTAATTTCCTGAGATCCTAAGGGCGCTGGGCCCATATCCAAGAGGTCGTGGGTTCGATCCTGGCCGGCCGAATACTCCCCGTGTTGTAAATGGTGACTGATGCACGTTAAATCTGTCGAGTCTCAAAGTCCTCCATGTTCCCACAACAAATCAAGACCTCTGGGGGTACTGATCTAGGAGTTTCCTTGTCTTCTGGATTGGTTCAAAATTACAAGGCTACGGAGTTGAACGTAAGTAGTCGTAAACCCATGAAATTGGGTCGGCTGTTCAACGACGGTTATAAAATAAAATATTATTACTAAATAATACTACTGCCTATATTCTTGAGAAATATTTTTTTATTGTTTGAGGCTGCTTTGAGGATAAAAAGGGAGACTAAAAGTTGGAATATCTAAAAAATAGGGTTTCAATTGACGAACAAAATTGAAAAAGCAATTATTTATGATTTAAGCTACAATTTAAGGAGGTACGTGGGGTCAAACTTTCCACTTTGTTTCAAATATTTCTGTTTTGAAATACCTCCTCTCTGGCCTCCAAAGGAAGTTTAACTGCAAAAAAATCTTTTTCTCTCACACCAAATTCATGAACATAGCGAAAAGTGATAAGTATAAGGGAAAATGTGGCGAATGAAGTTCGAACCCCAGCTGGTATATACGAATTCTGTTCTTAGTTCACATCTACTGCAGATCTGACGTAAAATATTCTCAGTGGTTGACGGATCATGGGTTAGAATCACCTTGCCGTCAGGCTAACCTTGGGAGGTTTTCATCGCTCTTTTAATGTATCGCAAATGCGAGTTATTTTAATCAAAAAATACACCCCGATGTCTACGTTGGACATTTCACATCCGAAGTGGTGTCAGGATTTTTTAACATTTCAACACATCGTAACTTTTCGATCTAAAAGAATGTATTCAAATATTTATTCGAAACTTAACTCAATAATTGTTTTAATATCTAATTCCGCATTTTTTAATATCTAATTTTTCAATTACTAAGTAATATGTATGAATTTAGTAAGTAATTTTTTTTATCATATGCCGATTGAAGCTTCTATTTTTTAACAAATCAAACTATTCTTTTTTGTTTCAAAATTTGATGCGTTAAATTCAAACTGTATACATTTTTAGTTAAAAAGTACAATATTTTCAGTTGGGGAAACCAGTGGCACAATTTACTTGGATTGCAAATATTGAAAATCTCAATTTATTTTCCGTCACTTATAAGCGAGGTAAAACTATTCTAGTTATTCTTTTATAATTTGCTAGTCGATTAAGTTATATTTTAATTATTTTTAAGTGCATTATTCTCTATAATATTTCATTTCAATTTACATGCATAAAAAACATTCTGCAGGCATAGTAAAAACATTACTATAATGAATACACATGTAAGTGTTTTAAATTTATCGCA